GGTTGTGGATTTCGTAGGTCTGCGAGGACAACCCAACCAGTAGTGTTCAGTGTTTTAACGCTACAAGAGGGATGAGAAACAATCATATTATTTTGTGGACTGGAGATTGAACAAAGAGTGGGCCACAGACGGAAGCTAACATTACAGCTAGACACTTCGTCGAGGGCCGGTCGTGTCAGACGTGCGTTGTGTGCGTGCCGCTAGTCACGGCCCCCTCCCGCCACCCCCGGCGATGTCTACTTTACTGTTCTACTTGTCTCGGACTCCTTCACTCCACTCTTTGACAAAACATGTTGAAAAGTCTTTGGGCCGTAGAAATCTTGGGCTTGGGCGCACCGGAATAATCAATTATCAATCATTGAGATGGGGTGGGGACGCCAGTACCTAAGTGCGTATTCCTAAATATGTGTGTAGGATAAGTGTAGAATGACGTGAAATGATAGCTTTGTTACTGACTAAGATAAGCTGTTTCATTACCCAAGAAAATTTAAAACCCTCAATGATTAGGAACAGCTGGGTACAGTTTCGAATTATCAAAAAGCTACACACTTTATTTTCGGGATCGAACCGGCGACCTTTTGAATGTCAGACGAGTACTATAACCACTCACAGGTAGACACCGGGAGATACTCACTAAAATCCATTTAGACACTGGGGTTGCTCACTATAGTCCATTTAGACACTGGAGTTGCTCACTATAGTCCATTTAGACACTGGAGTTGCTCACTATAGTCCATTTAGACACTGGAGTTGCTCACTATAGTCCATTTAGACACTGGGGTTGCTAAATATAGTCCATTTAGACACTGCAGTTGCTAAATATAGTCCATTTAGACACTGGAGTTGCTCACTGTAGTCCATTTAGACACTGGAGTTGCTTACTAAAACAAAAACCCATCGGCGTTGCGCACTGAAATGAAGTTAGACACTAGAATAGCGCTTTAAAAAGGACATTAAAGTGCCGGAATTTGCTCACTTACGCTCTTGGTGTAGAGGCCTCCCCCTGGAACACCCAGAGTAGCGCACCTCTACTCTTCCGAAAATTGTTATAGGACATTAAACAATAGTATTATAACTATAGTACAGTTGGAGAAACATGTAGTGGATTAAAAAACACACTATTTGAACTGCAAGACTAGGTAGGTATGTTTTAATTTAGTCTATACTAAGCAGTTCAGGGGCTACAAAATGGAAAATAGCATTTAGTTAAACACATTTTAAAATATTACATCTAATTTGGCAATAATATTTTTTTCATGCTGGCGGGTTCATAAATCTATTTCCTTTAGATTCTGCTGCTAGATTAGAGGAAATCCCTTATTCTTGAAAGAATAAGGGATTTCCTCTAAAATATTATAAAATATAGAAAATAGAATAAAATATGCCAGCAATAAATTGTTTTTAGCGAATTTCCCTATAGGGAAGTAGCTATTACCGTAGGTGGCACGGCAAGACCTAGACCCGGGACCGATTTACTTTTTCATTTTGATGTCCCCAGAGGCCAAAAACACCATTCGTTCAAATTTTTATATATGTATATATATATATACGTCCGTGAACGCGATAACTTGAGTAATTTTTGTCCGATTTTGATGAAATTTGGTTTAAAGGTGTAAAGCGGGATAAACTTGAATGAGTTCGCGAACCAGCACGATCGGATCATGGGAACGGGGCTTTACGGGGGGTTTTATGGGGTAAAAATTGGTTTTTCTCACTTTTGACCCTCAGAACACAAAATTTCCCGATTTATCTTTAGACCTTTTTAAAGAGCTTAAAAAAACAAATAATTTAGTATATAAAAGTATTTTTGTTCGATTATTAGTAACGGAGAAAATTAAAAAAATTGTTAATTTAAAATTCCCATGTTATTCTTATGGAGAATATTGTCAAATGTTGTAGTTTGCTTGTTTATGGATATATTTTGATCAAACTTGGCAAATTTATTTATTTTCTACTAAGCTATCAATATTTTACTCAAAAACACACTTTATTAGTTCCCTTGTAGCAGCAAACCTAGGTACTCGTTAAACATAATGTTATTAAAATATATTTAACTGAAAATCAATTCAGACAAATGGAAATTCGCTTAGTCGGCAGGTTTGCTGCGGCGGGGGTATTTTATTGGTTGAGTTCATTTTGATTGACCCTTTCATTTTTTCACAGCAACTAATTTGCTAGCAAAAATTTATTATATTCACACAATTGGTGATTTGCTGTACCCCCTACCTATTTTAGAAGATACTTACATCTAATTCTTTTAGTTTCAGCTGCAAGATTCGGGAAATCCCTTTCTACATGGGTTTTTCATTTTAGGAACTCTAGCGAAATCAGCCTCACAAACGAGTCTGTTAACAGAGATATTAGATCTTTCAAAAAGAGTTGAACGTTAGCATTCGGCGATGGAAGTGGAAACTCACACATGCATTGATGGTTTGTCTTAAGTCCGCAGTGTGAGCAGCCCATATCTGAGGAGTGAAGAGGGCTGTTGTCAAGTCAATAATGAGTCTATAAAATAATGAGAAAAAACTGGCTAGATGGTGACAAGTTATAAAACAGGCTCCTCCACGCCTTTCGTAGAGTGGTACCTATGTCAATTCGCAAAAATTTTACAGGTTTCATTTTATTTCGCATAGGGCCCACAGGTAAATTATATACTCCTTGTCCTTAACTTTCCGTATCCCCAAATTTCCTTGTCGGCATCTTTCTTAAACTCATTCCAGAGCCATCACGGTTGGACCCTTGGGATGGGGACTCAGATACCCACCGGGTCAGGTGCGCAATTCCGGTGAGTATTATTTGAACCCTTTTGATGGTTGTAACTAGATGCGCAACTCCGGTGTGCACCATAAATTTTGTTGCGCATAAATTCACCACAAAAATAATAAGTATTTTTAGTCTAGTATTCTTTTGGGTTTCTGTCGGATTCTCCTCTCGGAACTAAGGCTTGTGTAGTGGCGTTTCTAACGCATTGTTCAAAGTGCAATTAATTGTGGAATTAGAATAGTCTGGGTTACTTGTATCTATTGCAGTATGGAACTGCTTGGTGAAGTTCCCGAATTTGCACACTATAACGTGCCTCACCCGACGAGCTTTTGATGATCTTATCGCAAAGTGCATAGCTATATTTATCTAAAGATAAGGTATGGACGTTTCTAATTGAAGGAAAAGTCATGTTGTTCCATGTGGATAAAGCTAACATGTTTAGACGAAAAATAGTATGTTTTATTTAATTTACTTAATATCTAATACACATTTATAGTTTATTAGATAGTTTATACTTAGCCTCACTTAGCTCAACTCCTTTAGTTGGGCGAGTCGTTGAGTCAAGTTGGCAAATGTGATGTCGCCAACGAAGATGTTGGTGGTTTGAGCAATGCTGACGTTTGGTAAATAGTGAACTTTGCCGTGTCGTAACCAGAGAGACCCCGTGGAGAGTGGGAGCGGTGGCGAATACAGGCTGCAACGGAGGATCCCAGGCTGTCTACTTGAGGGCACTCGAGCACTCACTCTAGCAAAATAATTATGGGTGGAATCATAAGGTTTTTCTATTTTTGAAAGATTTGAAATATATGCAGACAGACGGACGGAAATATATAAACTGGGTTGAGGTACCCAAAAGCAGGGAAAATCGTTAAAAGAAGAGATTTCCTGTTTTTTTTTGCTGATACTAAAAATACGGACGTTGTTCATCGTCCGTCGAAGGGTAAGCGTGCATAGCTCCTTTTCACTAAGGTATTTTAGGGCACAATAAAGTAATTCCAGTGCGCCCTCCTTGTGACACTGAACATTGCTTAGTTTATTTAACAAATGGGATTCGAAGACTCAGGTTTGCGAGCGAGAGGTCTTGCAAAACTTATCAAGCTGTTTCTGGGAGACTATGGTCAGATCTCGGTCCCTAGTCAGGACGTCGTAATACCTTATCATTTTTCGATTTCGAAACAAGTTTTGATCGGACCCTTCTCACTTTACCCAGAAAGCTTGTTTCTCATCACTCTATCAAAATCAATTATATTATTTTGAGCAACAGGTTTGCGTGAGTCCCTGGCTATGGCTTGACAAGTTTTTGGCAGATAGTGTGTATACGATGTACCGATTATTTTGTAACTATTTTGTATTTAAATATATTAATAATTTGCACGATACATTTAGGTAGTGGTAGCCTAGTACTGTTTAAAGGTAATTGTTTGTTACCTTAGAGGTCAAGGGGTCGAGTCCGTTGATGGCCCTCACTCTGTAGTCCTAATATTGCCTCTATAATCAAGTCATTTTTTAAAATTTCACACTACAGAAAAGTTGAAACATATAAGCTGAATGAAAACTTTGCCATTATTAGGCTACACCGCGTTTAAATAGAGTTACTAATATGTAATATTGTTTCCAGTACAGTGACGAACTATAAACAACATTTCATTTCTTGCATTCTTACATATAATTTATCATCGATATAATCCTTTTTTAGTTTTGTCTGATTAATATTTCTTTTGTCATTTGCTTCGTAATATTTTTAATTGTTATCTAGTTTTAACAATCGTTATTTTTCTGTCAGACATTTTTAGCATGCTATGTTAATGTTTTTATGTTCAGATGTCTATTCCTTGTAAGCATATCAGCGTTATTGTCATTACCAAGCAAGATGGATCTATTTTAGTATGCTTTTTACTCTAACATATTAGCTTAGTGTTACTGTAGTTATTCTTTTTGTTATAATATTCTAATAACTGTAATGTAGCTTACACATTGTAAACATGCTGTTTACAGTGTAATAAATAAATAAATAGATATCACCGTCTCCTAATATAATACTCTTTGAGTGGAAAACTGGCAACGCTGCGTGGCCTGGTGACGTAAACTCCCCACCCCACCCTTATGATTTTCAATTCAACAAAGGATTTGCAGTGTGTTTTTGTTCGGACAGCTTGGAGTGGGGAACTAAGCCGCCCTGTGATTGGCCAGAGACTCAGGAACAGGAAAGGAGGGGCACAAGAAAGTTGGTAGTATGTTGCCAACGAGTCGTTCCATGGCCAGACTGAATTTAGGACGTGTTTAGTTCGGACAGTCGGTATCGTTAGTCAGTGAATCGGAGATGTGTAGTTAGCGTATACCGAAGAAAAAATAGTTTAGTTTTTTAAACAACCTCTCCTAACAGTCTCAATCAGTGAGTATTTTTATTTACACTACACCACCTAGGTTATATTAGATTTAGATTACTTATTATTATTAATTATTGCTACAACTTTATTATTTAATAATCATTATTGTCTGTAGGCATGAGTCCATCATTAACAAACAATGTTATAGCTTGGGGTTTATCGTGACCTATAATTGCATGTATTGATCTATATTCAATACCTACGTAGCCTATTGATTATTTCCATTGTGTTCGTTTTTGAAATTTATGCATAGGCCTACTTTCTTTACGGCGTTTGATCGGTAGTGAATAATTGTTGGACGATAAGTGTTTGATGGTCTGTAAATAATACATTCTGTTTACAAATGATCCGAGAAATTCTATTTACTATAAGTTAAGTAATGAGGTACAGTTTCAGCCTTCGTAGAGTGCGACATTACTAAACCCGGACATATGGCTTGTAAATTAATTACTAATCTGGCAATGGAACTAATAGTTATTACTATTATATATACACATATAAGATGATAATTAGAATTGTAAAAATCGCACAGCTGGCATCACTGTCTTGTTGTATGAAAACTGTCTATTTTCCTTCTTCGTCGTCTGCCTATGCTCGCTCGCTCGGCCTTTCCAATTGGTAGCCATTTTGAGTCTTTCTTGAAGTCTCGTCTCGGTAGTTTTTGTGCTGGTGTATCCAGTTGTAAGCTGCTTTTGTGGTGGCCTTATTAAAAACATTCAGGTATTTATATGTATTTTATAATTACTTTTATTAAATTGTTGTTTATGGATTGATCAATTACGTAGTCATCATTATGCATTACTAGCCCAGTCAACAAAATGGAATGGCCCATCGCCCCATTATCAAAATAATGAAGTCTGGTAACTTAGTAGTGTTTTACTGAAGCATATTTAAGTATTTTTTTTGTTGTTATTTTCAACGTATCAATAGTCGTCGGGAAAGCCTAACCACCCCAATTAATTTATTGTTACTGTTCTAACCTTCGTTTGTTCTAAACTTCTTCATATTGAGCAATTTTAACCCTGTTCCAGATTGAATGAAGGCTAGGGTTAATTGGTTGTCAAAAGTACCTCTCAACGTGGAGCCTATTATATTACCAACATTGAATGTAGAGATAACTTATTCTTTTTGCATTTTATAGATCAATATCTATTACCTATTCATGTCATCTCATGAACTAGGCTAATTAAGTAAATGGTAATTAGGCCTAAACACTAAACAGGTCTTTAACTTTTGCCACTATTCTACCTGAAATGAAATGAAATGAAATGAAATGTCTTTATTGCTTTTAACATCATATAACATGCATTGCAATCGTCAAAATACTTAGATTATAAAATAAGTAGCATATCATACAGTGCAAACCATGCAAAAAAAACTCAAACTTAAGTTAGAAAGAACAAAACCATGCTTTCTACTCTACAATAAAACAATCCTGTTGAGGCAAACAAACCAATCTACTTACACAATAGGCATACCTTCAACTTAAAAAATCATTTCAAGGCTGTCTGGGCATTTATTAATAAGCCATTTTTTTAATTCCATTTTGAAGTTTTTACCTTCTAGTTTCTTTATGGAGTTTGGTAGCTTATTGAAAAAAATTGTTCCCTTGACATAAGGGCTATTCTCTGTCCTTTTGAAATGTCTTCTCACTCTGAAAAAATCATTACACTGTCTAGTGTTATGGTCATGCATTTGTCCTACATTAGCAATTAAAATACCAGAACTACAGCTAAATTTAACTAAACATATAACCTGGTATACATACATTGCGTACAAAGTCATAATGTTGTGTGACACAAAAATGCCTTTGCTATGAGTCCTTGGGCTAACTTTTGCTACCAAACGTACAGCTCTTTTTTGTAACAGAAAAATTCTTTTGGTATAGGTGTGAAAAGAACCTCCCCACAGGACAAGCCCATAAGCTAGATATGGATACACCACTCCAAAATAGACTGACCTTAATGTTTCACAGTCCAAATAGTTTGAAAGTCTTCTTAGCAAAGAAATACCACTCAAGACTTTAGCACCAACATGGTCAATGTGTTTATCCCATGTAAAATGTTTGTCAAAAAATATTCCAAGAAATTTACAAAAATCATTACCTTCCAGAGTCATATTATCACCTGAGATGCTAAAAGCCGGAACATTGCGACCAATTGAGAAATGTACAAGATCAGTCTTACTTAAGTTTACCTTTAAACCTATTTCCAAAAAATAAGCATTGGCAGCTTCAGAAAAATTGGTTAATAAAGCTTTAAGATTTACCATATTGTTTGCCCAGCACAGACCAGAAGTATCATCTGCATACATACATGCAAAAACATTATCCATGACAATAAAACTATTTACATAAACTATATACAGAAAAGGTCCTAAAATTGAGCCCTGCGGAACCCCTGAGGTTACCACTCGTGTTTCCGACCTATGTTCTCTCTCTGTCGTACCGTCATCAAAAGAAACTGTGGTGCATTGTTGGCGATTTTTTAAATAAGATTCCACCAGACTCACCAACCATCCTGGAACTTTATAGCCAATCAGTTTTGCCAATAAGATAGAATGGTCAACCCGATCAAAGGCCTTCGAAAGGTCTAGCAGAAGCGCTGCCACTTTACAACCTTCATCAAGTTTTTCAAGAGCAGTGTGAACAAAATCAACAGCAGCAGTGATAGTGCTCCGACCCTTCCGAAAGCCATGCTGAAAATCTGACAAAATTTTGTGATCATCAAAAAATTGTATTAGGCACCCAAGAACAAACTTCTCGATTACTTTACTAAAAGTAGACGTGAGAGAAATAGGCCTATAATTCTGAACATCTGTCTTTACCCCCTTCTTATACAATGGTTTAACAATTGTGAGTTTAAGTGGATCTGGAAAGATAGATGTTGATAACACAGTCTGAATCAAATGCACCAAAATAGGAGCCAGTTCAGATTTGCATTTCTTTAACAAATTTGGAGATATGCTGTCCCAGCCAGAAGAGCTTTTGTTGTTTAAGCTATTTATGATCAAAACAACAGATTCATTACTAATAGTTAGTGGAACTCCCCAGTGAGTATTGATAAAATCAGTACCCTGGTTTTGAAACAAGTTAAGCTCGTTTTCTACTGCATCATTCTTAACAATATCTACAAAATAGTCATTAAAATGTTGGCTTACAGCAACAGGATCCACAATTACCTCATTACCTTCTACAAGGGATATGTTTCTCTTAGGCCCAGATTCCAAACCAGGCTTACTTCTAATGCTATTTACAAATGACCATGCACTCTTAGAAACATTATCTGATGAAGTTATTTTAGATCTGATATGTTCAGATTTTGCCAATTTTACTTCTTTGCGAAAAAGATACTTAAGTCGTGTGTACCTTGCCTTGTAGATCTCACTTCCAGTTTGTTTGAAAATAGTATGCATATTAATCATACTTTCCTGCAAACCTAATGTATGTTCACTCAGAACCACTTTACTTACAGCTTTATTATGAACATTACCTTTCTTTTTAATTTTAGTTACAGGACAAGTTACATCTAAATGCCACAATAGGATGTCAAAAAACGCCTTCCATTTATCGTTAACATCCATATGAACAAAAACTGGATCCCAAGTTTCCCTGGACAGACTATGTCTAAGGCTAGCTACATTTACTTCATTAAATTTGCGCTTGTACAAAAATGTATCAGTACAATTGTAAGCTACAACAGCTTTAACATCTACATATTGTGCATAATGATCAGATATAAAACCATTTATCACTTTGGCTTCTGTAAACTTAACATCTGTGATTATATGGTCAATAGAAGATGAAGATGATAAAGTTTCTCTAGTGGGCAAATGGCCTAAAATATCCACTAACCTAAAAGATTCAGTCAGATCCAACAAATTTCTCTTTTCATTACTGTCATTCAAAGTGTCTATATTCAGATCACCCAGTATACAAACTCTCACCCTGTCACTTTTTGGAATATTATTTAACGCAACTTCAAGATTTTCCAAGAAAGTGGACAGGTTTCCATTAGGTGACCTATATACAGCAATCACAAATAGAATGAAAACACCAATACATATCTTAGCCATTACAACTTCAAAGTCTAAATCGCTGCACAAATTTTTAACCCAAGTAGGCCTGAACCTTGATACAAATTTACTGAGATGATCCTTAATGTAGATAGCTACACCACCTCCCTTATGAAGATTTCTAGAATATGAGTCAACAAGGCTATATCCCTCAAACTTAAAAAAGTGAATATCCTCCTCACGCCTTTGATGCTCCGTCAAGACAAAAATATCCGCAGCAAGCTCCGAAAGAAACAGCTCTACAGTGTCAAACTTATTTCCAAGTCCTTCCACGTTTTGATGCAGCAGACGCAGACAAAACTCGTTTTCTTCGCCTACTGACTTTTGTTCGCTAAAAAAATAGGTTTGCTTAACCCGGTTCCACTATGTCTAGGCCTAAAAACCCTACGAGGGAACTCAAATTCTTTTACCAAAATATTTTTGGGCCAAAAACCACCTTGCAGAACTGAAGAAAAGTCTTTTTCGGGCACACTTACCTTGAAACTACTACAATTAGAATGCCTGGTTGTCAGTTTTTCACAGGATACCTCAGATAATCCACTGTTTTTTAAATAAACTGTAAGATCGTCAGTTGTTGTGTTTATGTCACACCTAGAAACAAAAACCCACCTTTTTTGTTCTGCATGTTTCAAACCATCTTTAGATTCGTTACAGCCAATTACAACTGGTCTCGTTTTGTTACTGTCTCGTTTCAGAGTAGGCCTATCAGTTATACGAGTCTTTTTGGTTGAAACAACAGTACTATAGAGTAACCTATCTGTTTTACCTACACTACTTAAAGGAGTTGGAGTATTTCTAGCAATGATACCAGTACCTTCCTTATCCTGAGAGTGTTCAGACTGTGAGGTTAGAACTGTGGAAACGTTAGACTCTACGTTCACCACAAGATCAGTCTCACCTCGATTAGTAGCATTTACACTATCAGAGTCTA